TCGTGTCTCGATTCTTCCGTGTAGTACCCATCCGCGCCCCCCCTGTTTTCTCTTGAGAATGACTTCCCACGCTTGGACTTGGGCACTTCTTTGGACGCATCGCAGTGCTCCGGAGGCACCACAGATGTGCAGACAACTGCTGCCTTATACCCGTTCCGCACCCCGGAGATCGGCCTTGGATTTGAGTCGTAAGAGGGGGTACGTCTTTTGCGATTGGATCGTAGTCACGGAAGAATCGCTTGTGGGATTAGATGGCTTGAGGAACACCTGCAGCATGTAATAGCCCGAAGGCACGGCATTATTCTCGAATCTGTCGCTCATGGTTTCGCTCGATCCATGCTCTTGGAGGAGGCCCCGCGGTTGGAATTGGAACACGCTAGGGTTCATGTGCAAGATAACATGGTTGAGCAGTCTGCGGGCAAGGCTTGTGGCGTCGCCGACTTTATTTCCACACCTTTCCGTCTAAAGGTGCAATCTCAGCGACATGTTTAGTACCGCCTGGAACATGTATCCTTCGCGGGTCCCATGGAAGACGTCCGCCAACGCGACACGGATGGTCTCACGGTAGCCTGCGCAAAAAGTAATCGCAATCGCCTCAAGATTTTTAGTTAGCACCGAAGGTGCGTATTGTAGTGAGGCATGTCGTCATTCCGCGTCGACAGGGATCGAAAAAAATATTTCCTAGAAATTCCACCTCGACTCACATGTTAGAAGCAGCGGGGCCCTCACATTTTAATCGCTCTCGGTTGTTTTACCCGGTGACTGTGTAAAACAGAATGATTTTTTTCACTGCGGCCAAAGACTGTTCCGTGCGCGTCGTTGATATCCATGACATGCACTATGATATATGTGGTATGTACGCACTCATGGTACGTTCCTCCGATGCCGATACGTGTGTACCCCCAACCTACCAGGGTGTACCCTTTCTGCTCCGGTTGTGGAACCTCTCGCTCCACCGGCACCTCCACCTGGTGCAGCAAGTGCGCCCGGCAAGCGTCGTTGTGCGCCGTGTGCGACCTTCCCGTCGTGGGGCTGTACATCGAGTGCCCCGGGTGCCACCACGGGGGGCACGCGGAACACATGATGGTGAGTGTGAGAAGAGAGAGGGAGAGAGAGAGAGAGAGAGAGAGAGAGAGAGAGAGTTTTGTGCACGTGTGCATACCGTAATAATATTTGTATTCTTCTGCCATCACCACGGAACACATCGGAGCACACACCCCTCTGCTGGTTGCAGAGCAACCTCTTGCTCGTTATTATGCCCTCGGTGACGGTGACCTACTGCTTTCGGCACCTGAATGGTCTGGCGTAGTAGGTACAAACGTAGGTCACGTGTTTGCGGACGCTCACGCGTTCTTGCCATGAAGCGGGTCGCGCCGGAAACTCAGCTCACACCGCCCCCCGCCCCACCTCATCTTGGCTGTGCGTCTCGCCCTGTAGAACTGGTTCGCTGTTTCGAGTGAATGCCCGGTAGAGACGTGCTCCCACGTGTGCAGACCTTGTCTCACCGGGACGCTCAAGCCCGAAGCCGCGATTGGGACGGCTGCCGAGCTCCGACAGTGGCAAGAGTTCCACAGTAGTTTGCGGTTAAGCGATCGATAGGTTAGCTCGAAGAAATCTAGCCTTTCTGCGCGATGCTTCACTGTATTCGTTTTGATTCGCACGTTGTCCCTGCCTCGCTGGGGCTGGCTGCAGCTGACCCGGACGGATATTTACGCTGAGTCCCCGTGGGACATGTAAGATAGTTGGGCATGTGTCGAATCGGAACGCCTTGTTTCAGCTGTCTCGATTTTTCAGGCCAGTCCCGAGCCACCCTTGAAAGTAGACCATATACCGCCCAACCTAAACAGCGAATGCAATCAATATGAAACAGGCCCGAGATTGTACAATCACGAACACTATTTAGCGGCTGCCTTTGAGAGTTCGAGCGTCGGGAGTTGGAAGACCCACGGGGTGTCTTATTTCGTACCATGAAGTAATCCGTGCCTTGTGCATGTGATGTATGCATCGCATCACTTACTCTCGAGGCGGAGCGTTTCTCACAGCAAAGAAGAAGGGTCGGCGAAGCAAGACAGTTGCCCAAGGCATCGGCTAGCAGTTAAAATGTGACCTGTTTTGTCATCTGTCTCGAGGTTTGGAACAGTCGGACCCTTGCGTTGAGGCGTGGGTGAAGCTTATACGGTGGGCAACATCCACATTCTGGGTGATGACTAGAAAAACAGTTGTGGCACGCAATTCGCCGATTGGTCAACGCACCTGTGGCGGAATTTCAAAAACGTAAAAAAAAAACAGGGCACGACCCAAGATCCTTGGTCCACGGGTGGGGTCATCCACGGCCAAACCACATCCTGGTCGGCCGGAATCCTGGGAAAGTCAATCGTGTCTTCTGGTGATGACCTGTTGTTGTCACCTTGGCTGACTAGGAACTAACTGGAGAGACGTTGTTGTGCCTCATCACAACATAAGGAACAGCAAACACGCGTGAGGCTGTCGTTTTTTCGCCAACAATGCGGGTTCGCGCACAGCCTTAAAATATCTTCTGAGCAAATTCCACCTCTAAGATTGTTAGATTGTCCGCAAACGAGAAATGGACTATCGCTATTATACCTTGGGAGAGTCAAAACACAGAGTGTTCCACCAAGCTTGCTTTGAGAGCCAAGAGACGAATCCTCAGTATGCAAACGTCTGGCTTGTTGGAACCCGGAAGGCCAAGTCGCACATTAGGAGCAGCTTTCGGTTGTTCTTTACATGAGCGACGCCGAAGGCGGACACGATCATCGCTCACCAGAAAACCTACGTTACACATTAGAAACCCACGCGTCTGCAATTTTTTCACACCGCACCTACGGTGCATCTTGTACCGCCACCAACTCTTGCACTCACTTCTTGCAACCCCGTCTTCCCCTTGTCAACACCAAAAACAAGAGGAGCAGCGAGAAGTTGGCTACATCCATCGTTGCCCGAACAAAGTAGCCGCCAATCATCCGATCCTCCCCAACTTCACCTTCCTAACAGTTTTAAAGGAAAACAACAATCAATGCCGAACCCCAAAATTCAAGTGTATGTGCCCCGATCGCTGCCCTCGATGCTGGGTCCGCATGCCATGTTGGGACGAAGCTCTACAAAGAGGAAGGGGGAGTCAAGGACACTACTATTAAAGAACACGACGTTCCACAGCGCGCATAGCTCCATTCTCATGCGACAGCCTGGCTTTGTTATCTGCGCGTTTTCGGTTCCACGGTTTCAGTCCTGGCACACCTGGTTCCGTGCCAAGTCTCTAGCCAGCATGTTGACTATATCGTACTGCTACCGGCTACCGTTGGCTCGAGAAAGGGACACCGCTCCAACCTTTTCCTGTGCTTGAATCCTACGAAGCGGTGGTCATGGGGGACGGGGCGGAGGGGCAGGAGAAGGTAGTGCTTGGTTATTCCGCACATATGCGCAGCAATATGTGGATCGTTCCATCTTATCAGAGGGACCTACATGCCCATTGGCAGTAGCTCAAGTCGTGAGGAGAATCTAAAGGTAGAGAAGAAAGTGATGCAATCCGAAACGATGTATATCGCGTACTAGACAAGCCATGGACTGCGCGGCCGCTGGTGCGCATAGGACAACAAGTTTGTGCAGGAAGTTGACTTGGCGTATTCGCTAGCCTCCTGAACGGCAGGACCAGCTACGGCACGAGCACAATAGTTTTCTTGCAGGCTGTTCGACAACCGCCAAGACGACACGACCGCCCACTGCAGAAACCAAGACGAGGGCACAGCATTACAAATACCTGGCTCTCGCTCCAGTTACAGGCGAAACAGAATTGCAGCAGGCAACCAACAAATGATCGATCGTGACACTAAAATAGAGATTCTTCTTGTTCGGCCGGCCCCGTTCGAAGACCCGTTCGCTTCGCACCCCGGCACGATTGTTTCAAGTACATGGTATTCGAAACTTTTCCCACATCCGCTACGCAAAACGTTTCGCAGGGTTGCATCATATGTGGAGCAAAGAAATCGGGCCAAATCCATCAAACGCCCGTATGCCACGACCACGGAAGTGGTGATACGAAGATATCGAGAAATACATATTTTCAAAGTCCCGTGCTCGTGCCCGGTAACACTCACGAGAGCACGTCGTCCATCTTTGCTTCGATGGCAACGAAATCACCACTACTCGAAGGCAACGATTTCCCCTCCTTCGTACCTCACAGAAAGCCCACCACCAACCGGAACAACCCGTCAGCCTCCAGTCCGAGCAGGCTTCCCACCAAACCTCCCCAGTCGACCGTCATCTGGTTTTCCGCCTCCTCCTCATCCCCACCCAAATCCTCGCCGCTAACCCTTGCCACCTTGGCGGGGCAACTGTTGCGATTGACCCTGCTGCCTTTGTTTGCTATTTGCACCCTTGTTGGGCAGGAACGGCTCAGCACCAGCCAACCGCGGCGACGCCATGACCGGTCGGCTGGAGCACGTGCCAGCATTCGACGAATGCGCTTGTGGTCGGCCTTGACGTCTTCGTCATTGACGTCGCCCCGATCGTACACTCCTATCACGTCTGCTGGGACGTCTCCGTTGTCATTCGAACAAGTCTCATCTGCCCCCCAACGCAGCAGCAGCTCCACAGCCGCCACGTTGGAGTGCATGCAGGCTACGTGCAGTGGCGTCCCGCTGTGGTCACCGTGCGCATTGGTGTTGGCCCCTCCCTCTAACAGGGCGAGCGTCGTGTCGATCGATGCTATCCGACGTTCTACGGCAAAATGGAGCGGCGTCCATCGGAGAAAATCTCTGCCGGTCTCTGCGTTGACACCACCCCCAGCTTCCAACAGTAAACGGACAACGGCGCCGTTGTCCAGAGGCCCATGTCTATTAACAGCACAGTGTATAGCTGTGTATCCTTGATCATCACCTGTGTCGACTTCACTTCCCGTTTCAAGGAAGGCTTTCACGATGGTCGTGTGTCCTAGGTGTGCAGCCACCTCCAGTGGAGACCAGCCGTTGACGTTGGTACGGCAACGGTCGGCACCCGCAGACAAAAGCTGTTTAAAAATCCGGAGGTGGTTGTAGTTTGCTGCCTTGTATAGTGGCGTTTGGTCTCCAAAATCGGCCACGTCCTTGTCTGCGCCTCCCAGCAAAAGCTCAGAGATGCATAGCGCATGGCCCTTGGAAGCAGCGAGGTGGAGAGGAGTCTCTCCCGAAGATGTCTTCCCGTCTACGTGGGCTCCTTTCAGGAGAAGGAGGCTGATAACTCGGTCGTGCCCCGTTTTGGCAGCGACGTGGAGCGGACGGTATCCTTTGCAATCAAACAAATTCGGGTCTGCTCCAGCCACCATGAGGGCCTTGGAGGCCTCCTCTGCACCCCGTGCTGCCGCAACGTGGAGAGCGGACTTGCCTTCAGGTCCGAACAGGACGTTTACATCATCCCCCGCCCCAGCTTCGAGCAACGCCCGGACCACCTTGTCGCTTTTGCCCCATGCAGCCGCACCCAGCAGCGTTCGTCCATTGCATCCCCGCCAGCCTCGTTCCCCGCCAAAACCACCAGCGTCCATCAGTCGTGTGAAGAGATCCAAGTTTCCTCTAGCCGCGGCATGCTCCAGAGGTACTTGAAGCCACTGCTTCCATTGCTCTGAAGTCACCTCCTCCTGCACGAGTTTGAAGATCTCGATCTCGAAGCCGTCAAGCCGTGAGCGGCCATCTTCGCGCTTTGACTGATAAGTTGACATCGTTCGTGAATTATGTACTCGAACTCGATCGTGCTTGGTACTACTGTAACGCTGAAGTGAGCTTACAACGGTGGCGCTCTCTCCTGTTGCAAACTTATATCCGTGTGGTCTAATGCTGCTGCTGCTGCTGGTAGGCTAGGTAGGCTGGGAGTGGACGCGGGATGGCCAATGGTGAAGCAGGTACAGCAGCAGCAGGCCGGATTGTGGTGAGGCGGCAGGTACGGTGGCTCACTTGGCTCGCCCAACCAACACCAATGCAGCTGGCTCGCTGGCTCGACACTTTGGCTCGGTTTGGCTCGGTGCCACAGGGGGAGTCGCAGACAGGCCAATCATACGTACTGTCTGTGTACCTTCTGCGGGCCGCCAACCCTCAAATGCGCCGCCCCGCGGTTGGAATGAGAATCGTCTGCTCCGTGCTCCGTCCCGGCGGGCCACCGACCAGCAGCAACAACACTAGACTGTGCTGCGGAGGGTCGATACTAAGCGGGGTTCCGATATGCCGCGATCAGTACGGCCTTCCAGCAACAACGCGGTGTCGTCGTTTCGCGACCGCGGTGCTCCCGGGGGCTATGTACAACAAAACGTACTGACGATTCCGCTCAGTTTCTCTCGAAGGCCGAAATTTAAAAAGGCTACAAAAAACTCGCAACGAGTCGCTTCGTTCGACGACTCGCTTGTGCTCGACGAAACAGATGAGATGGGCACCGTGGCGCTATGCCTTGGGTGCCACGTATTCTTACTTGCTTTGGCCTCCTTGCAGCCAGACAACATGTTATGCAAATTCAAAATCCTTCTCCTCAGCCCACATTTGTCACCAGGCATCACGTACGAAGCTGCTCACATACCGGCCCCAACGGAAACATCACAAATTCACACCGATCACTATTGCAGCAAACAATTCGCAGAACCGTGGGAAGCAGACTATCTATGTCCACTAAAGAATGCCGTCAGGGCCCTGAAACGAGCTCAGACTAAAGCGCAACGTCACAACAGAAAAGGACATTTCACAGTACATCATCGCAGCATGCCCATCTCTTCCGCCTGCCCCATGAACGCCGGGAGGTTCGGAGGGTTGCTCTCCAGAAGCTCCACAATGACACTCTTCGTGTATCCAATGATCTGCATGCCACGAGGGTGCAAGCAGGCAAAGAACGCGGCGGCGGCGGTGGCGAGGGCAACGTTGGAGCGGATGTAGTCTAGCCATGCTTGAGACTGAGGCAGGGAGAAAAATCCGCTGAACGGCTCCTTCCGAGTGGACGCAATTGTCATGCCCAGACTTTGAGCCTGTAGGAAGGGGGTTGGGATCGAACACTGGGTCGTTATTGGCCGAGCATGGGAGACCACCGATCGCAGAGCAATGCAGCATGTGTCTCCTCCCCCAGCGGTGTATACCCCGATATCGCGCTATCTATCCATCCCCCAATGTTAGGCTGGGTTCCTATAATGCCGTGCTGCTACGTAGCGATCCCAAGGGGGCTACTTGTCCAGCTACCCACAAGACAACGGAGCAAGTTACCCTTTCGGCTCCATAGCTTTACTTTCATCTGCTTCCCACCTGGCCAAAGTTGCTCCGCTTCGCGCCTCGTTCCGCCCAGGTGTGATCCAGTAGTCTGAAGGCCATGCAGAAAATCTGAAAAAAGCAAAAACGAATGGTCCCGGTCCGTGTTGAGAGTGAGTGAGTGGCAGCAAAAGATCTGACACGACAAGCCAATTCTTCAGCGAACGGAATGGATGGATACTGCAGACTTGGGTTTTCATGATATCCGCACAAACCCACGGGGGCCGGCAGACGGCCTGGGGTTTCAGTAGCGATGGACGTAGCACCTGATGCGTCTGAAAGCCTTTCGGGGCGCTGAAGACCCACCCTTTTACGTTTTGGGAAACCTCTAGTACACCAGACAGGAACCCACAAATGTAGAAAAGGTGTTGAGGCTTGTGTGTTTCGCCGTGGACACCTCGCGCGCCTAGGAGACACCCGGAAGGTCAGTGTCGTGACATGATACGAGGAGTAAAAACGCTCCTGGCAAAGCACGACTGTACGCGAGCGTCGGCTTGTGTGTGCAGAACTGGCAGTAGCACCACCCGGGTCCAACTCAAGACGACACACACAAGCAGCAAAACAAAGAGGCCGCCCTTCGTCTGTCTTCCCTCCTTCTGAAACCCCAAGCTAGATACCATCATAAAACAGTAGAACCACTCAAATGTGCGCGTCTGCTTCACCGATAGCGAAAGCTCGAGCCTTGTAACGTGCGCAACGTTGCCCCCTACCAGGGCGAGTGATGCCAAGGAAGCACGAAAAGCGGTCTTCTCTCAAACACAAAAAAAAAAATGGGCCCATGCATTCGGAAGTTATTTGAAGACACAGAAAAATAGCTTTACCTCGAAGAACGCCCCCCGCCTGTCGAACACCCCCCAGTATCCTTTCCGGCTCGACGCGAACTGATTCGCCCGCATCTCCAAGACATCAGCCAGCATCAAGGTAAGGTTGTTGGCCACTACCGCCCAAGGGTAGTGGGAGGAACCCCCTGCCGACTGCGCTCGGCACAGCGATAGTGCCTGGAATGACACCGGAAGATAGAGGGGAGAGGACACGGGCAAGAGAGGGACGTATATGATGACTTCCCGGAATGCAGTGGAATGTGCGACATAAGATAGAGGAGAGTGGACAGGGGCGAGAGAGGGCCATGCATCAAGGCTTAAACGCCTGGTGTGTAGTGGAAAGTACGACAGAAGGTTAGAAGAGAGGGGACAGGAGCGAGAGAGGGATGCGCACCATGACTCGAAAGAGTTGGCAGACGCCGCCTGGCCCTCTGCTATGCAAATCACGTTTGCTTTGGATTCCAAGAGAACTCCTGGCAACCACGAGGATTCGGCACCGTGCCCATTTCTCCTTTAAAGGTACTACGACGGTCTGTTCGACTCCAAGGTCATAAGTGGCCAGGTTTAATGCTTCCGCCACGGCAACGAAGGACGACGCATCCACTCACGACTCGACCTCCCCGACAAAAACGCGACATGTCCGACTTGGAGGCACCCTGTTCCAGCCTAACTTCGGCTCGCGGAGATTGTCGAAGGCTACGCTCTAGGGGACAGAGACCCATTGGAGGCATGCACGAACAGCCCACCTTTCGGTCGTACTCCTGGCAGAAGAAGACCATTGACTTGAGCGCCAGGACACCTGTGCCGCGGAAGTCCAGGGACACATTCGACTGCGCGAGACGACCATCGAAACGGTCCCAAGTCGATCCATACGGTAGGGACAAGCGGAAGGATGTGACGATCGGGGGTGGAGTTCATCCATGCATCATATTGATGAGCCGTCCGGAGGCCGGTGAGGTAAGTACGTGGGAGAGGGCACGCAAAGCGGCAACCACATCCATCCCGAGCGAGCCAAACTGCATCAGGACTGCAGAAGAAACAAGAGCACGGGACAGCTATTTGTCAGCCGTTTCGGCTGCGCAACCGGCCGGGGGGTGAAATGCTTCTCCCAAGCTTCGCCGTCGTGCCCAATGGGAAAGGGGGCTGTCCAAATCTACTGAACATTTCGTTCCTGTGCCGCGCTTTTCCCAATGTCTAACACGGCGCGTGGGGCCAATGAACAAGTTACCCAGTGTTCTGTACAGCTTCCGTACCCACAACCTACGACCAGGGATCGTCAAAGTGCCGGATGTAGTCACGCTAGAGAGACAAGGCCTTTCAAGGGTGCCACCACCCGACGAACACACGCAACAACACGCCCTCTCACCTCTTGAAACCCCGCCTCCTGCCATCTCGGAGACTCGGCGCCCTCAAACTCGTCGTCTGTGGTCAATCCGTGCACCAAGTGGGGGAAAGAAGAGAGAGAGAGAGAGGGTGGGGGGGAGTGGGGGGGGGGAGGAGAGAGAGAGAAGGGGTCACAGAGGGAGAGAGTGAAAGGAAGGAACGTATGCAATGTGCTCTTCAAGCCCACGGCACCCCACGATGCTTCAAGTATGTCACACACACCACCCAAGCGAAGCAAGAGAGCAGCCTTCGCGTAATACCGGCGTACACACTTACCTACCATGGGACGTGTCGGTCAAGGGATGGTCTATGACGGCGTTCTCCAAAGAACAAGTGTGGTGACTCAAAGCAATAACCAGTGTCCATGTTCGTGCGCGCCTAAAGCCAGATTTCGGTGCCAACTTGAACACGCGGTCTCCGATGAAAAGGAAGAATTTCGATTACCCATAGAATACCGTGGCAAGCACGTGTACTGGACCCTTGATCACCTCGCCGATCAGAGCGGACAACACCAAAAACATCGCTTGTACAGCAGGGAACCTTCCCAAACACATCCTCCCCAACAACAACGCCGCAGATTCTTCCAAAACTGGGACAAGCGTCAGCCGGAATCTCTGATATATCCCACCTGGGAAGAGGCACATCCACACCTTCCCGAGGTCGTTCACGTGCTCCCGGCTCCTGCGAGGTGCCGGAGAAGTTCATCAGGAGGGATGGGGTATGAGAGAGAAGAGCCAGCCTTTCACAACTTTCGGCATTGCTATCAGTGCGCGGCAGAGAAATCATCGCCCGAAGACCTAACCGCCGCTTCTTAGTTGCAACGAACGCATCCGGTCCGTAGTTTAGGGGCAGGTGACGTGGCCCCCAAATTCGGTGTTCTTCGTCTTGGAAGAATAGGAAAAACGGGGGGGCGCCGCAGAATGGGTCGACACGGCCATACTTAAGAAGGACGAAAAACACAGGAGCAAGTAGTGTGCCGTTCCGGGCCACACGGGAGCACAGCAGTTGGGAAGCCTCGGGGTCAAAGCTTGTCGGGTTTGGCGTGCTTGCGGTAGCGCCTCCCCTCTCGCAAACGAAAACCTCGGTACTACGTGAAAGACACACGAAAGGATCCTACGCGGAATCAACAGCCGAAACAACGAAATAAATAGGTTTTGCCCAACGACCAGAGATGTCTGTCTCGTGGTGGACCACGGTGTACCAGAAAGAGGATTACCAGCATGAGAAAGGCTGGCCGGAATGTGGAAACGCAACGGCTCCAGTCAACGGGTGCAAAGCACCAACTCACGCCGCGCGCGGCATCGCTCAGAGTACTTCCCAACACGTTTGCACGCTGTTGTTTGTATTCGTCTGCCTGCCTACTCACGTGGCGGAAAAGGGGGTTCCAAGGAAGTTGGCCAGTTCGTGGAGGTTCTCCATCGCCTCTTCGGAAGGAACCACGGGGCCTCCGACGCCCTTGTTGATCGCGTTCCACATCTTTTTTGCCCCGAATCCCATCGTCTTGGCCACCTGCCCAGCCGTAGGGAGCGGAGGCAACACCGACACCAACAACGAGAATTCCGTCGGTCGATTGGCGTCACGAATAGGTCGGATGCCTATGTTGGATGAGGTCTCAGCAAACAGTTGCAACAACAAGCGCTAAAGGGTGGTGTCAACCACCCACCCAGCTCTCCCTCTTCCCCGCGGTCACAAACCCATGTAACCCCTCGATCCTCTACACATCTCCATTAGCTACCAATTACATTGGCGAAGACAATATTGCCATCGTTCCGTCAACAGAAAGGACAAGCGCAACGGCGGGAAAACACGACGACCGTCGGAAGATCATTTTAAGACACATGCATACCTGAGAGGTCTTCTTTTGAAAGTCCTTGACCCCCTGGGAAGCCTGGTTCACCACAGAAGCCTTCCAAGTATCGTCCTGCGGAGACAGGCAGGAACGAAACAAATACATATAACAGAAGAGAAAGCCAGCTTGGAACAAAATAAACAGGCACCTGGCGAAAAGCAACTATCAAGTCGGGTTGGGACGTCGGGAAGAAAAGATGGTAAGTGGAAGAGGGGGGCGTCAGGCAAAAGAGACACGCATGGCATATCGCAAGAACTCCCAACCGCCGAAACGACAAACAAAAATACTACCACTGGCACATGATTGGCACGCCATGACCGAAGCATGGTTTCAGGGCCATGGCCTACTACACGCATCCGCTAACGATATACTCTACCCAACCACGCTCAGCCCTCCAGACACAAACAGTCCGTTTCAGGGACATGGCCTGCTACACGCATCCGCAAACGATATACTCTACCCAACCACGCTCACCCCGCCAGACACAAACAATCCAACTCTTGCATACCGATAACTGGTGACGGTGATAACTGGGACAGAGTACCAACAGAGAAGCCCAGCATCCGCCCTATATGAGCGCCCGCCGATATCACCAGAATTATCTAGGAAAATAGTAGCGGAACAAATACACAAACTTTCCGCTCGCTTCCTAAACGTTCTCCTTCCACCACGAGTCTACCGGCTACTGCTCCCGCCAATTCCATTTCTACAACCTCCACCAAATGTTCAAATCTTCGCTGCACCCTTAACTCCTCCTCTCGTTTTCAAGCTGTGAACACCTCTCGTCTGGAAGGGTCCACTGCTACCGTGTCAGAAAAATAGCACATACGCCCGCATCCCCCCTGCGTGGTCAATGGTCCAACTCTACGGCATGCACAGCCATGAGTACGCCCTACTGACCGCACCCAGCCAACGGCAACCAACAGCGTCACCTCGTCATCGTCACCGTACGCGCCCCCGCCCCCGCGATATCTGCGGTCATGGCCGTCATCATCGCCATCGTCGCCGTACCCCCGTCCCCTGTCCCCTCTCCTCCCTCCGTCGCCGTGCTCGCCCCTACTCCCGCCACCGACGGGACTCCTGCCACCGCCCCCACCCGCACCAAAGCGTCCATCATTGTCGTCGTCGTCATCGTCGTCATCAACGTCGAAGGACCTCTCCCCCCGCCTCTCCCGCGCCACTCTGGTGCCGCTGCCGCTGTGGTCTCCGACGTCGAATCGCTCTCCGCCACCTATGTCCATCCCCGACACCCCGGACGCAAGGTCTTCGTCCTGAGAACGACAAAACAGAGAGAGGGGGTACGCGGTATCATGCATATATACTGCCAAATGCTGTGAAACACCCGCCAGGACGGAAACCGAGCCTGTATTCCGTTCTCACGACCCGAAAACAAATGGGCGAAGTCTTAGTTTGGATTCGGTGAAAACGCCCCCCTCCTCCAGAGGAATGATTTGCTCATGCGTGCACGGGGGGCTGAGGATGGATCTTTGGTAGTCGGGGGCTGTACCGCCAGAGAGGAGTCCAGGGTGTTGACAGAGGGCGACAGCAATGGCCACACGAAACATTATCTCTCTAGCAGACAATCATGTGCGGGTGAGGCCTTCCCAGATGAGTCAATTGCTATGCTACCAAGTTAAAAGCGTCGGGGTGTCTAGGGCAATGCGTGCTTGCGCCTTTCACTACACGGGGGAATCGCCCGACAAAATGGGTTTCCACCTAACTCGATACACACGGCCGCTATACACACGGCCGCGTGTAGACTTGTCGCCGATCAAAAACATGCCCAGATGGTGGCCCGCACAATCGTCATCGCTAGCCTAACTCTCGCTCAGCACCATCCTCTCCCCCGACGATCTGCAACACCTATCTCACCGCAGTCGCTTGTCCCCTCGCTCCTGGCGCGTCGAGCCCGAGCCCCGGACCGTGAGCCACTCCCACCCCTTCCCCGGCATAGAAATCCTGTGCCGGTACTGCTTCTGCTGGAGCATTTTCCGCGGCCTCGTGTTCAACAGGGCCGCCGAAATCGATAGGGAGAATCTGCACACACACACCCAAGTACAGACGACCACGAGGAATGAGTCAGACCCGAGAGAGACAATCGCTGCTGCTGTTGGCGGCTTTCCCTACACGGAGGTCGCCGGTCGATGAGATATGTCTCGTTCTTGAAGGCGGAAACTTGAAACCGAAAACAGCCAACCACTTCCTGACCCAAAAAAACGGCACAGCTCCTAAAGCAACCCAGAGTCCGGCGTTGCCACAGCCGTGTTTTCTGGCGACCGATTGCAGAAAGGGGGCACGCCCTGTCCGAACCTTGAGGTGCACCCGCTGCTGCGGGTGGCCCCCGCTGTTGCCGCCCTCCAGCCCCCCGAGGTTCTCGGCCAGCTCCAGAATGTCATCCCCGTCCGTGGTGAGGTCTACCCAGCAGTAGTCCGACAGGCCGTTCGCGTCCGGCACCTGACGCGTCGCGCGGAACGGTTAGCCGCAGGACGGACGACGCTCGCACGAAAACGTGCAACCAGAGTTTCGACTAAATGCTCTCGAAAGAAGTCCGCGTGTATAAAAAAACAAGGGACGCCAACCCCAGTGTGTGGCGCAGTCGGTGATACACAGCCGGTGCTTTCGGCAACCTATTTAGTGGGAACGTCATCGGGCACGCACGTGGTGGTGTGGTGGCGGCGTTTGGACTGCTGCGCTCGCGGGAGTTGGCCTGTCAGCTCTCGGCGACTGAACCTTACGGGTAAACATCTCTGTCGGAGGCCTGCATCATCGTTGACCGTGGTTCTTGATACATACGCTCATGCGAGCATCTCTTCCCGTCTCAAAGGTGTGTTGCGAAGTTTTGAACGCATTTCCCAACCGGTCTCCTCAACGCACCTTGAGCCGGAAGTGAAACGTCCCTTCGAAGGGAAACATCTCTCTCAGCCGGAACAACGTCAGCGTCCGCGGCGGGGTCGGCCGATCCACGCGAAAGCTAGACTGCACGCCGGTTTCGGGGTCATCGTCGTCTCCCTGGGTACGACGGCCGAGCGTGGTTGGGAGGAACGCAGCATGCCCGCGGGAGGCAGAACCGAGAAAACGAGGAGTATGGAACACGGAACACGGAACACGGGTTGGAGCGCCAGTAAGAAAGGGTTTCAGGGAATACTGCCTTAGACTCTTGGCTATCTGTCGCCCCTCATGGCGGTGTTGTCGTTTTGCACCCAGGCACTGCGTCCCGTTGTTGATGGGATGATGAGTTGGGTGGAAATGGAACGGAAATGGGATGGGATGGAACAGAAGTTCCGCCGAAGGCATGCTTACCATGCCATCCCACTACACGCACATGAGTATTTGGCTTGAAACGACGACAAACACAGCAGTCGAAACTGCGAACCTTGTTTCGGGGGGGGCGCATTCAGTCTCCGCACTGCATTGAGCTTGGCGTTCTCGACTGACGGGGAGCTCCTGGGGGGCAGTGCGCTTTATTGAGTACACAGAGTTAGACCGCCACCGATAGGGGATGACCGCGAGACCCCCTTCAAGAATTGATCGCCATCGCTGTTGCACTGCTGTTGCATTGGCCTCGGCGGGTACAGTACACGGGAGAAACTGCTGCGCGCTGTCTCTTTGGGAACGAGCAAAGAGGCCGGTCCGTGTCTGCTACACATAATGCTCTACCTAAATACTGATGTCTGCTACCACTCGGTAGAGGGCAGTACACGCTTCGCATTTGCTCACGGCAGATGCGATGGAACAATCACCTACGGAACGAGAGCCTGCCACACCAGCTTCTGCTTACCGGTGCTTGTGCACCTCCCTTTGACTTGAACGTCAGGGCAACACCCGGTCTCTCCCATTCGCTAACGAAGAGGACTTATGGAGGAACAAACACAGGAGCGCTGAGAAGAGTACGCAGCAAAGTTCCGACGTCTCTAGAGATGGAGATAAATATTCCTTGCGTTTCACCTGTATCACGTAGCACACAAGTACCGACGAGGACATTCTTGGTGGCACAGGCCGTGTTCTGCCTGCTGCTGACAGGTCTTGGGTCTGCTGTGGGCGCGCAGTCGGCGTTCCGCGTAGTTGCAGCGTCGGAATAGCTAAGACGGCATTGTGAGGGAGGGGTTTCCAGAGGTTCGTGAAGCGGAAAATCATGGTCTGGTAGCTGGTAGCTGCTGATCTGCTGATGAACAACGAGTGGCCCTTTCCCAGTAAAGTAAGGACTTGGGTGAGGAATGGCTGCAAAGGTGAGTTGAGATGTGCTTTGCCCCCCTCTCCAGTGATCGCGTGCGACTGACCCAGGCCATTTCATGGCATACCTCAGACGTGCATAACGTACCACAGGCAGATGTGCATTGATCTACTTGTAGATACTGCATCGCATGCACTGCGTTGTTCCTCCGCACTCTGTTCCAATCGGAACCCTCCGCCCTCCGCGGTCTTCTATGTAGCATAGCTTCGAGTAAACAGCGTGACCAATGCTGTTAGTTACGGCACCAAAACGGCGGGCGGGGCCGTTGAAACATTGGCTTGCAATTTGATGTGGCGTTAGACAGGTGTCAATTTGTGCTTGATTTTGAAAGGTTGGGCGTTTCCGACATTCTTCTTGCTGATGCTTTGTGTGCCTCTGTTTGAACTGGAAAGGTGTGTGCTGAACACAGCCGAGTAGCAGAGAACACACACACACGTCTCTCTGAGTTATTTCCTTATTGTTTTCAGGTATCCCTGCCGTCTCCAGCCTTCTTCATGTAGGTCTTCGAACTCTTCTTCTCATTGTGATCCTCCCTTCACCGCGCCCTCTACTCTTCGCCACCGCTGTCTGTCGGACTCCCTCGTTAATAACTGGTCTTCGACTGCACTCACTGCCGTCTTCACACCAGGTCTGTCTTTGTTTGGTCTCTGACTTTTCTTCTTGCTGGATGCAGGTTGCGTAACTGAACTGCTGTAGCATGCTTGCTTGTCGCAACCAACCCAAGTTAGTTGCACAACCAGCGTGACAACAAAGTGTTCCAAAAGTTAACACCGGCGTGGTATCAGTGTTGGACACAATTTGACATTTTCATAAAATTTGATGAAGAACGTTGTCATCAACTTTGAACCAAGTTCCACCCGCACTCACTCGTCAAAGTTCATCGAAGTTGACGAGAGTTTGGCATATAATAGTAAAGTTCTCCAATCCAAGTTGGTCAAATCCGGTCGCATTGGATCAGCGTTGATCAAAGTCCGGAACAACCAGGCTGTAACTTTGATGAAAGTTTCCATGAAAGGTTCATAACAACTTTCGCACAGCTTTCATCGCAATTTTGCTATGAAATTGTCGTCAAAGTTGACTAAAATATTCCCGTGACATGTCAAATTGTAGTGTTTTCGAACACTGTGTGTCGTCCACCGTGGGAGTTCCACTTTCACCCATGTCTATGACATCACGCACACTCTGTGCATTCGCTCCGAACCATCGTGCCATTTCCATTGCACGCACCAAGGCCATATGTGGCGGAAATCGGTGCCGGTCGAGTCTGCGTGGCCCGATGAAAGGTCACCTTGTTGTTCGAACGTCACCTACTCGCCGTCCGCGTTGCCATCATCAAGGCCGGTCGTATCGCCTTTTCGTTATTGTCCTAAGTGTCGATGTCACATCAGGCTCCATCCTCATGAGAGAACAATGCTGTTCCCTCTCACCCATATTTCCTGGGGTGCTCGCGGCGGATCGGCGCGGGGTTCGCGTCCCCGTCCTCGATTCTCGTCGACGGCCGAGTACGACGTGAGAACGAACACTAAAGTCTTTGCGTTATTGTTCGAAATCATGTGGTAGTCGGCGGTCGACGATAACCGAGGACGGGGACGCGAACCCCGCGCCGATCCGCCGCAAGCACCCAGGGAAGTATGGGCGAAGAGGGAACAGCATTGTTGTGATGAGGATGGAGCCTGATTTTACATTCGCGCTTGCTTATGATAATTACGGACAGCCGAAACGACCGGCTTTGATGGTGGCAACACGGACGGCGAGTGGGTGACGTTCGAACAAGGTGACCTTTCATCGGGCCACGCAGACTCGACCGGCACCGATTGCCGCTACGTACGACCTTGATGCCTGCAGTGGACATGTCGAAGAAATCACGCCGGGGTCAATAGGTCGACGACAGGGCGGGACCACAAACTAGCTTGCCTCGCGGTCTCGGTTCCCCGACGGCCGTGCGTCGTCACGGTCTGCCCACGCGGCTTGAGCGTCCTATCATGCAATGGGTGTTTGACAACAAGTGTTCGAGGTAATTGCGCAATACGTGAGCAACAGTTTCAAAAAACGGTACCGGTATCTATTATGATCGTGGGAGTGTG